GGGGGGGGTTGATCATATGCTTTTATTAATCATTAAAGGTTGAAGAGAAAATATCAAGAAAAAGGGAAACGAGGAGAAAAATAGTAAGATGAGAAAGGGGTCTGAGGAAATATTTGTTACAGGTAAGAAATATTTCGGTCCATTAAGTTGTATACATTTCTTACCATTACCGCAGCTGGATCTCGTCAGTACGATGATTGTGGTAACAGACTAATTTATAATCATCATATCCGGAGGGGAAGATTTCTGGGAGGAAAAAGGGGCAAGGAAGAGAGGGGAGGGAAAGGGGATCTTGCTGTGATTCGCTTCTGGGTCGTTTAGCCTTTTTCCTGCGCACCATCATTTGCTGCCTTTATAAAAGTGATTATAAGGGAGGGAAGTTTGGTGATAATCCTGAAGATTTATAAGCAAAAAACGCTCCTGTTTTGATACTTTTGCAAAGTCATGATGTTGTCGTTGTGCTCCTTCTGGCGAAAGTGAGTACAGCAGCTGGCAACGTTTATCGAGAAACAGAACAGCAATTCTTTATTGTTTGATTTACAGAACAAACTGAGCAACAACCTGAGGGAAGTGGACAAAAAGAAGAAAGTGGTGAAGTCAGTAGACGACCGTCGGACAGTAACTTCGTAAGCAGTGTAATTTTGTTTTATTGCTAATTTGGTAAGGAAGTAATAATTGTTTGGGCTTGTGGACTATAAAAGTGTGTAATTTGAGTTGGAACAAGATTTTTAAGAAAAATACAAGTCATCCCTTCGTTTTAACTTTCCAACTCCAGCCATTTCAAATTTTGATTTTTTTGGACCGTCCACTTGTTTTAAGATTACAATTCAGCCTTCTAACGGCCGTAATTTATTATTTGTGATAATGCTGTAGGGAGCTAATGGGGATACAGGATTCCAAATGGTGCCAGATTGAAGTTTTTGAGACTATCTATGTTTAGTTTCGATTTGGTTTTCAAGCGAATTTTCACGTTATTCGTAGTTTTAGTAAAAAAATAATTTTACAAACTGTAGTTGTGGATAAAAAATATTTTAGTGTTGGAAGAAGAAAAAGCAAATAATATTAAGAAATTAATAAAACTTGCAAAGTATTGTAAAATATAACGGTAAGAAATGTTTCGGTCCATTAAGTCGTATACATTTGTTACCATTGCCAAAATTGGGCGTCGTCAATACGACGATTGTGGTGATTATTATGAATTTAAGTTTATTTTAAGATTACGATTCGCCCTTCTAACTGCCGTAATTTATTATTCGGGATAATGCCGTAGGGGATTAAAGGGGATACAGGATTCCAATTGCTCCATGCTGGTGCTAGATTGAAGTTTTTGCGGCTGTCTATGTTTACTTTCAGTTTGGTTTCCAAGCGATTTTTCACGTTATTCTCGGTTTTAGTAAGATATAAGCTTCCAAAGTATAGTTGTGAATAAAAAATATTTTAATGTTGGGAGAAGAAAAAGCAAATAGTATTAAGAAATTAATAAAACTTGCAGAGTATTGTAAAATATAATGTTAAGAAATGTTTCGGTCCATTAAGTCGTATACATTTGTTACCATTGCCAAAATTGGGCGTCGTCAATACGACGATTGTGGTGATTATTATGAATTTAAGTTTAAGATTACGACTCGGCCTTCTAACGGCCGTAATTTATTATTCGGAATAATGCCGTAGGGGGCCAAAGCGGATACAGTATTCGAATTGCTCCACTCTGGTGCCAGATTGAAGTTTTTGAGGCTATCTATGCGTAGCTTTGATTTGATTTTCAAGCAAATTTTCACGTTATTCGTAGTTTTAATGAGATATAAACTTCCAAAGTATAGTTGTGA